AGCTCACCAGGTTTGTTGCTAATCAGCGAACACATTCCAGCACATTAACCAACAGTTACCGTTGCACAATGAAACAGTTTATTAGGAGGCGAAAAAGCAAACGGATCATAAACTAATCTCATGTTAAACACAAATGACCTGTTCTTTTATTGCCCACGGTCTCTCAGCTGTTCCCTTATCACTAGTGATGAATACAGACACGCACACAGCAGCTATAATCACTACTCGTGAACAACGATGAGATCTGAGGCATCTGTGGCATGCGACCCGCGGGGTTCACTGCATTGTGTTTCAACAGTGAGAATATGTGTATTGTTCCTCTGTGGTGCACGAAATACCCAGAATAGACAGAATACTTTACTACTGTATTGAAGAAATGGGCATTATCGAGGTTGGGTTGCTTTGAGTTACAACTGTAATGTATATACTATCATATATCTCTGCTACTGTATGTCTATAGTTATGTTGCTTTATGTATTGGTCTTTTATAGAACACTAACTTATCAAGAATTTGTTTTATTGTGTATTCCCCTCTACTGCAAATATGTGTACATATTTGCCGTTTTTTTTTAATATATATATCCTTTTTTCCACCTTTTAAATATTTTAATGCCTGGACAAATTGCTGCTGTAACAAAATAATTTTCAAATTTGGGATTCAAATACCGTAATTTTCGGACTATAAACCGCGCCTTTTTCCCTATTTTTCGACGCTGCGGTTTATATAACGGTGCGGCTAATCTATGGATTTTTACAGCTAACGGCCACCACCTTTAACTCTATGGGCTCTATGGCCGGTCCGCGGACCCCCACCTTTAAGCGGCGGGTTCCAGCAGGAAAAGCTGGAGGCCGGAAAAGAGTGAGACAGGTAGCGCGCAAAAGTAAAAGTGGAACCGAGAGTGGTATGACGCTGCTGCGGCTTATATTCAGGTGCGGCTTATAGTCCGAAAATTACGGTACTACTTTTAATACGAGTGTTTTTATATGTCTCTAGTTATTGTGATTGTTATCTTGATTTTAATTATTGTTTTATTATTTTACTCCTATTGTGTTATTTTATATGTTTTCCCTGTGCAGCACTTTGGTCAACTGAGGTTGTTTTAAATGTGCTATATAAATAAATAAAGATTGAGATTGACTCAGACGTCATTTTTCTTTCTTTTCTCTCTGCACTTCTGCTATAATCTAAATATGGTCATCATTAAGTGAACTGATGTGCTGCGGTCATGTGTTCAAACAAGGAGCAGGGAAGAGGAAGAGGGAGTGAGATAGAGGGGAAGAAAAAGATAATCCTCAAGAGCTTTCGTTATTCTCCCTCCTCCCCAAGACGTCCTCCCATACACTTCCTCACCCCCCTCAGTTGCACTATTTCCCCATCGTTTCTCCAATCCTTTCAGGAGATTTCCATAAAGCAAACCAGGTAAAAAATAAACGGATTTCAGTTCCTCTGATGTGTCATGCATATGTCACATGAGGATTTTCTCACTTCCCAAATACGAGTGAACTCCCCAAGAAACATTCAGAAACAAGGGGAAGTCTTAAGCTGGGAGTGTCACATGACAAAATATTAAAGATGCAGCCTCAGATGTTCTGCGGTATCATATGGGCTTATAATTTTTTAAGCTTTGGATGTGTCGCCTACTGTGAACTCAAGCTCTGCGATAGAGAACCCTTAAATTCACCCCATCTCATCACATTTCAAAGAGGCAGCATTTGATCTGCTGGAGTCCACAGAGACTGCCTCGTGCTTCAGTAACCTGGGGCTTTCACCGTTTAACTTCTCATCTGCAGAGCTAGAAATCCCTGCAGCAGAAATGTAAGGCCCAACTCAAGAGGAATATTCACCGTATGTATAACACATAGAAGAGCAGTTGTGCTAATGAAATGTATATACTACTGCTGGATGTCTTAACCAATAATGATATGTCAATATTCTATATTCGTTGGTTTGTATTTTGTATTATTATAAGTTACTAAAGCTTTCAGAAAAATGTTGTGCAGTATTGGCTTCTAAACTGTAGTGGAGTATAACGATAAAATGGCTTAAAATGGAAAAACTTAGCTAAAGTACAAGTACCTAGATGTACTTGAGTAAATGCACTCGGATGAGTTTGCGGGTACAGCTTGCAGTCCAATTAGCTTCAAACTCAAATACACAGTGGGCCAAAATCAAAAAATCGGTACTAGTCGAGGGCCGGACTGGTTCAATGTTTATTGCAAAACGTATTGAAACTTATGAAAACTTATTGCACATATTAAACCTGGAACTAACAAAGCTTAAATTATTGCCTATAAAAACAACATTAAATAATCAGTTGCATTCATTTCTTATGGCTCTATCTGCAGCTTTTCCAGAGTCATTTCTTATGGTTACATTTTTCCACAGGCCAACAACAGCTTCAAAAAAANNNTAACAGACAGAGAATCAGCACTTTGGAAACAGGGCTGAAACAGAGGGGATTATGGGTAATGCTGCAATGATCTGTCTGGTGTTTCAGCCAAACACTTCAGAGACATATTTTTTTATATATTTGAGACCTATAATATATTGATGAAAAACAGTATAATAGAGGACCTTTATCATTTATAATTTGGGGATAGATCAAACAAATCAATCAATCAAAATACTTTATTAATCCCAGGAGAAATTAAGTTTCCTGACAATTAAACCATATATAAAAAATAATGTGGTCCTCTGCTCGGAGATTCGGACACACACACCTGCCTGAAATGCTTCCATTGGTCTCCTTTGTTTACTTCAGTAACAAAGTGACATCACTATGTAACTCTTGCGCTTCTATTGGCTATTACTTCAACATAGGCTAAGGGGCCGGACATCTCTAAGCGGTTGACCAATCAAGGAAGTTGGGTCAAACTTTGTAATATGATTAATCTGTGTAAATGTTTACGAGCGTCACAAGTTAACGCCTTACCATTAAAACCCCTTCATTTTAAATATCACGAAAAGTGTTTTCACATCAGTTAGGAAAAAAATAAATGGAGACAGGACTCAACACAACTCCATTGTCTGTTGAGGATTTGTCTTTCAGGCATGAAAATGAATATTTGAACCCCATGCTGTGTTGGGATTGGCTTTGTCTGAGCTGTATTCAGAAGCTTAACTGAGGTTAATTGATGTGTAATTTTGAAAAGCAGTCATTAGAGAATCCTAATGATGGCATGTCCCAGCTGTCATGTCATTTAAAAAACCCTCACAGCGAGGAAAGGGCGACTGCTGAGAGAGCAGGTTGTCCTGCCAGATTAGAGAAAAATATTTAAAGAGCGTGCTTTTATTATTATGTTTCACTCCTAACCATAATTAGCACATAGCTGCATCAAAGGAAAATGGAATATTAGAGCCACACACATTTGATGAATTTATTCCTCTGGATGGAAGTGCAGAGGAGCTGCCACCACTTTACTTTCTATTTCAAAAACATGTTTTAGTGGTTTTCAAATGTTCCACTTTCACTCCTTGTCAGGGAATCAAGTGCCGGTACTGCATGTGTGGTAGTGTCGGTGGGCGGAGGGCAGCACCAAATCTCAACGGTTTTTATTTGAGAGGTACTCCTAGCCACATTTCCTGATGCTGACTCAACATTAACATCCAGTAGGCCTGCTTTTACGTGGGGCTCTCTAAGTTTCATTTGGTCATAGGGCTTCTTTGGCTGCAATGAAATGTGAGATGAGTAAAACATTATCTCCTTTACAATCAGAAAGTCACTCAGCTAACCAGTGATGGGTGTTCTGGAAAATGTAAAAAAAATGAAAGAAATACAAGGACTACACTTAAATGACCCGATAATGCTCATCTTCAGGTTCATGTCAATATGTAGTGTCTCTACTTGGACATGTCTCCATGATTTAATTTCCAAAAAGCTCTTTATTGTTCTCATACTGCCTGTGCTCCAGCGCCTCTTTTCACCCTCTGTCTGAAACCAGAGCCCAGTCTGCTCTGATTGGGTAGCTGTCCGGCTCTGTTGTGATTGGACAACCGCTTAGAGATGTCCCGCCCCTTAGCCTATCACGTACAATGTGTTGGAGTGCTAGCCAATAGAAGTGCAAGTGTTACATACTGTCAGTGGCGTTTTTATATGTAGAAAAGTGATGGGGCACGAACAACTTAGATGTGTATATAAGCTTCTGGTGCTTTTTTAAACACGTAAACAAATAGCTGTAGGCTATCCATGGTTCCGATAGAGAGACAGAGGGGGGGGGGGGCAAACACAAGACACTCATCACCGAGGTCACAATATCAATCGATCCAGCAGAGCAATAACACAGAAGATCAATCAGTGTTGCATTAAAAGTGTGAGAACAGGTTTCCTGCAGTTATCAGGTGCTTGTACAGATCCACTCAAACCATGTCCTCCTCTGTGGGAGTTTCATAATCATGTTTTACCTCGATGTACACTGCGCTTAAATATCTCAATGCCATTCTGTACTTTCTTTGAAATGCTTGGAAAGTGTTCTGCCACATTTTGAATAAGCATCGTTAGTCAGAAAAAAGGCAAAACTTTTAAGAAAGCTTAATCATAATTCATGAAAAATAACTGTTATGAGCATGAGGTAATAGGATCTATGTTTTTATGAATACATTTAGCTAAAATGTATGTATCGATTCTGTTCTTCAATTTTATTTATAAAAGGATTTACTTGAATACATTTTATATTTTTATACATTTTATTTTTACAATAGCAATGAAATAATCAGGAATTTAAACCATATGTATTCTTTATTTTTACTAAACTGTGCCTTGTATGTTATTTTTGTTAAAATATTTGCCATTTATCCACTACAAGGACATGCCATAATACAAATAATCAGTATTCAGAAATGGCTGGTTAGGAAGATGATTCACTTTGTGTGAAATGCTGCAGCGAAGTGCTCATTGCTCCTGTGTTTCACAGAGCGGTGGTTCCCTCTAGTGACTGCAGCCTCCACTCACACATCCTGATCCTCACCATGCTCTCTCCACTGTCTCTCTCCACCAGGGAAAATGTTCCCAGATGTGCTACAACATCTTCATCGTGGAGACGGTGTGCGTGGCCTGGTTCTCGCTGGAGTTCACCTTGCGCTTCATCCAGGACCGCAGCAAGCTGGCGTTCCTCCGGCACCCCCTGAACCTGATCGACGTGGTGGCCATCCTGCCCTACTACATCACCCTGGTGGTGGACAGCACCTCCAAAGGGGAGAAGAAGCTGGGCTCTGGGAACAGCTACCTGGACAAAGTGGGCTTGGTGCTGCGCGTCCTGAGGGCGCTGCGCATCCTGTACGTGATGCGGCTGGCGCGCCACTCTCTGGGCCTGCAGACTCTGGGGCTGACGGCCCGGCGCTGCACCCGGGAGTTTGGACTGCTGCTGCTCTTCCTGTGTGTGGCCATCGCACTGTACTCCCCCTTACTGTACTTGATTGAGAATGAAATGGCCGCAACGCAGGAGTTCACCAGCATCCCTGCGACCTACTGGTGGGCCGTCATCACCATGACCACAGTGGGGTACGGGGACATGGTGCCACGGAGCATCCCGGGACAGGTGGTGGCTCTGAGCAGCATCCTGAGCGGGATCCTCCTCATGGCGTTCCCCGTCACCTCCATCTTCCACACCTTCTCCAGGTCCTACGTGGAGCTGAAGCAGGAGCAGCAGAGGGTTCTGCAGCGGAGGACTCACTTCCTGCTGAGGGGCCGCATGGCCGGCCTCGGCAGCAACCTCTCCTTAGAGAATGACATGAGGTTTCCTATAAGGTCGTCTGACAGGCACGACTGATTGAACAATTTAAACGTTGACTTTAACTAGATGTTACATGTCAACAGATTACACATAATAGTATTAGGTTAGTTGAACACAATAATAATACGTTTAAATTACAAATATTAAGTTCAAATATTAGGTAAACTGAGTGACATTATCTTTTAGGCTTGCTTGAAAATAACACAGTGTCTGGCATATGTTATATCATTACTGTCATATCATTGCTTACTATTCGTGGTTATCAGACACTTAAACCGAAATAGGATTATACTGACAAATGACATATTATCCTGTCATTGTCCGTTCTGAAGGAGGAACATAGCAGAGTGGGACTACACTCAAAAACGGAAGTTTGTTCCAATACGAAGATTGTGATTATCTGTAAAGTGTCCTTAAAACGAGCCTCCTCGAAATTGTATGCACAGCCGTTTGCTGTTTAATCTGATGGGAAATATATCATTCAAAAGAGAGAAAAAAGCTTATTAAACTAGACGAACGCTCAATACAGGCGATGACGTCACGTTTGCGCTTCCCCGCGAACAGGGATACAATCTACGGCAGGGATACAATCTACGGCAGGGCTATTCAATTAGTTTAGAATGGGGGCCGGTTGATGAAAATGATCCAAAAAAACACAGGGAAAAAAATGGCTTGAAATATGAGCAATCATATTAAGAGCTTCAGATACAGTGAATACTACAACAGCATAGTGGAGTGCATATATTGTGTTTAATTACATCAAACAATATAGCTCCAAGGCCTTTCTAGATCTAAATGGCAAGTTCAGAACTCAGTAGGCCAACATGTGAAGCTAATTTAACCATCAACATTTCATTTAATTTGATTTAGGTGAAATTATCTAATCATTCACGCAGAGATGCAATAAATGACAGGAGTTGTCACTACAGTAGCTAGAAGGTGGGTTCGAAACCCGAGCCCGCCGACGTTTTCAGGCAATGTCTTCCCCTCTGGAATAAAGGCACTCTGGCCAAAAAAAAATCTTTAAAAAATAAAAAGTAGATTACTTTTAACATTATACTCAAAGGGCCAGTAAATATCACCCTGGGGCCGGATTTGGCCCGCGGGCCGCTAATTGAATAGCCCTGCCGTACAACATTTAAGAATACCATTGACGTATAGTGTCACAACAATCTTATTTTGAAATGCATTGTAAATCCGACATGTGAAATATGTATTTGAGATTTAAAAGATAAGGTTTGGCTCACGTATGATCCAACAACATAGTGATGTTTTAATCTCTGATGTCTCCAGACGTTTAAATGGATTTAGTGGATTTGTTGATGTCATGTTCTCCTGGGAGTTCACCAGTGTCACGTAAAGGAAGATGCTTTCTGCTTCTGTTAAGTCCCAAAGGTTAAACACTCCAATGTGACCCCTTAATCCACTGATTATTTTCTAAATGACTGTGCAAACTCTGAGGATTTGTTATATAATGTTCTATATATTCCCCCGTCTGGCACTAACCAGCATCCACATATTAATTATGATGTATTAATTGTAACATTTCTCGGCTCACGAAGTTCCATATGCAGTTCTTAAAAAAGGTTTGGACATTGAAGATAGCATTGTCGTGCTTGTAATTACTGCAGTTGCTGTCCATAGCCGTTTATAATAATGACTTTGCTCCTTAAAGTGGATTTAAATGGAAATCTGTCTGTCATTGTCACTTCTTTATTTAATGTATTGTCCCAGAGGGAAATAATGGTTTTCAGTGAGAGGATGAAATTGAGCACAATTCAAAAAACAACTGATAAAGACATGGTTCACATTTGGAAGACGCTCAGAAAATCCTAAGCGAAAACAGTTCGAGAAAGTAAATACAATTTAAAAGGACTTATTTATTTCCATGCTTTATACTATATATACTTCAAATTCAAATATTGCACTTTTTTTTCAGTTAATTTGTTACATTTAAAATCGGATTAGGGTTTAAACCACCCACATGTATATGAGAGAGAGAGGTAACCAATGGCTTTGTATACTTCAGTATCCTGTGCATAACCATATACTGTAGTAAGGTGCATAAATCAAGAAAGGTCACATTTTCGTAACATAATTGTCCTTCGGTGAAGACCTTTACCTTAAACGAAAGATTCCTAACATAGAATAGATGTAGTGTAATGGAACAAAAAATGAAAAGTCATTCTCTACATCGTCAATGTCAATAAAATATTAAATCCATAAACAGGTCTGCCATAACACCTGCTAACCTCTAGTAAGCTATACGTCCTTAACTTTATATTTTAAAATAAATGAATGAAAGAATTAAAAAAACTCTGGGAAAGGCCATTGTTCTGATTGATGAATATTTGTATTTTTAATCCAAACAAGAGGTATAATTCTGTATTTTGAATGCAGGTAAAAAGTCTTCTGCAACTACTGACAGCAATAAGCAGTCAGAACCAACCTGTAGTGCTCATGCATGGAAATAATTCCATTTAAAAAACAGATGTGTTCACATTTACAAAAAGTCAATACTTCAAGATCGTAAGGCCACACACACGACACTTTGCAGCACTGTAGTAGTGCTATAATAGTGTTTTATGTAAAAAGTTGGCAAAGGTGTTTTGACCTTTTGATCCTGCAGCTCATGCTTTATTAGACGTGTTTCCTCATTTGGACATAGGGTGGCAGCATTGTGTCAGAAAAATGCAAGGAGGTTTACAATACAATGTTTTTTTCACCACACAATGATAGAAAACGTGTTATATGTGTAATGCTTCGCGCCTAATTTCAACCAATCTTAACTATGCTTCATTATGGCTGCACTCAATACATGTCTCACATTTATATTCAGCACTTTGACACAAGAAAGAGCTTTTCCTTATAGCTCAAAACATATACATTATGTGAAGCTGACTCCAGACATTTTCAAAATCACAGCCTATAATAAAAACCCCTCCACCAAACTGAGCCAGGTTTCAACCTGCAGCCTCAGGTGAGCGGGGGACTTCCATGTAACACCATTCTCCCAAATCCAGTACTCCACAGTGCGTACAACCATCTGGCCAATCAGAGCCTGGTAATCCGCAGAAGCCCCGCCCCCTTCTGCCTCTAAAATCACCTCCCAGTGTTTTGGTCCTGATTTGGCGTTGCTTCCTGCACACAGGCCGACAGTCGGGGGGGAAAGCCAGCTTTACACATGCACTCGGGTGTTTTTCTGATCTATATGTGAATGGAAGATGTTTTCCCAGCAGAGGAGCCTCTCCCCGTCATGACCTCCCCGGGCCGCCCCTCCACTTGAATGGGATTCCTGTCGCTCGTTTTTGGCACCGACTGTCACTGCTGCTGCTCCAGATAGAAGACCTCTGATTTTTTTTGTTGGGTTCTTTGAGATTTTGGGTTTTCTCTTATCAGATCATTAATGGTTTGATACGAAATCTGCAAGTGTGATCGGGGAGAAGAGCGACGACGCCAGATCTCCAGTATCCTGCGGTTCAGGGTGAGTAGCTGTAAACTTGTTATTTTAGTGCGGGTGACTTCAGCAATGACAGGAAGGACAGACAGGGTCTCCTTCAAAAATGATTGAAGGGTTTGATCTCAACAGGACTGCAATGTTGTTTGGAAATAGTCATCACTTTACCCTCCTTTTTAGACTAAAATGTCTTATCTATGACCTAAATGATCACCAAAATCTTGCACTGTGATATTCCAATATGTTGTTTTGCTAGTAATGATCACACACTGTCATTTTCCCACTTTGTAATTCACATAAATCACTTAAACCAGCAACTATAGTGTCTGAGAGTAAGAGTGACTCATCAGAGATTTTGTGTGTTTTTTTAACACAAGCTGCAGCCTTTGATTTAGGCCACATACTGCCTCTGTTCTGCAGCACTTTTGGGAACATTAAGAGCTTAATCACACAGCACTCTTTCCCCTTTCATAATCCTCAGTTTTTAAGAGAAATGGCTCCCTGTGTGGAAGCCTTCACGAGACAATCTGAAAGCTGGCAGCTGCAGAGTTTTACGGGCTACCTGCTGTGTTATGTGTGAGTTATATGAATAACACATATTGTGTATCTTTTTGAACCAGACTTGCTTTTAATCATTTGCTAGTGGCTAGGTCACTCAGAATGCCACATATTTTCTTTCCTCAGGATCCCACACACTTAAGAAATGGCTGTCGTATGCTTGGGATTAGTCTCTCCCACTCAACATGACGCAAAGGCCCAAATATTGACTCTAATGTGGTGGAGACTAATAATAGAAGGTTTGCATTGAACTCACAGTCTGTAATTGATGTCCTTGAACATGTATATCGATAAAGTATTTCCAAATGGTCTGTGTCTGTGACATGACCCCGTGTATACTGTACACATCAGTCCAGCTCATGGGATAACTTGACCCTGGTTTTAACTAGAGTTACGGTCCGACGTTTGTTCAAGACTTCGCTCTTTTTGAACAGTGCACTGGTGAAATGAAACTGAGTACATTGAATCAAGTATTTCAGCTACTTCCTTTTTATGCCACTCTATGCTTCTTCCCCTACAACTCAAAGGGAAAACGTTTTACTCTACTACACTTAAACTTATCTCTGCTCTTCAGGTTTCATATCAGTAAGTAGTGTCTCTACTGTGACATGTCTCCATGCTTTAATGTTCAAAAAGGTCTTTATTGTTCTCATACTGCCTGTGCTGCAGCACCTCTTATCACCCTCTGTCTGAAACCAGAGCCCAGTCTGCTCTGATTGGTTAGCTGGCGTCTCTGTTGTGATTAGTCAACCACTGTCCCGCCCCTAATCCTATCATGGAAAATGTGTTGGAGCGCTAGCCAATAGAAGCGCCTAGATACGGAATAAACAAAGGAGTGGAGGTGTTTCAGGCAGGGGGGAACTTTGGGATTTTAGCCTTTACAGACCATTGACCTGTATACCACACCACAGGAAAGGGAAAACCCCCAAAAGCATGGAAGGGCCCCATTACATCTTTGGTTACATTTATAATTCAGATTTTTTCATTTAAAAAAAAAAACGAGAGTTTCAAAAAAGACGTTGTTTCGTTATGAATGAAATTAGCCAGCTCTTGAGATTGAAAGAAAAAGGATTGGCATTTGTACGCATTTAGGTTTTAATTCA